GGTCTGCAGGGGTAGAGGGAGGGCTTGGCAGGGCCAGCAGCTCACTGCCCCAGGGTCATCTATATGAAGAGTGTTGGGGGGAGGGTCTGCAGGGGTAGAGGGAGGGCTTGGCAGGGCCAGCAGCTCACTCAAAGATTTGTATTGGGTTCTGTTGCCTCCAGGGGGTCAGCACAGGAGAATGATTTCTAGGGTGAATGATATCAGAAGACACCAAAGGGGACAAAGGGCACTCATGCACTGCTCAATTCCTGAGTAGCAGCAGCAGTCTTGGTAGGTGAAACAATTTCTTTTTTAGGCTCATTGAAATAATCAGCTAGTTTTAGAGGCTTCTCCCTCCCCAGCTCTGAAGGTAAAATAAAAACCAGACAGAATTCTGTCACCCAGAGACCCCTTCCATCCCTCTACTTCAATTCATTTTGAGCCTGACATACTGAGGCAGAACCAGGTGGTAGCTTCTCTAAGTAAGAAACTAAGACAATGTGCATGGGTAAATATTGCTGGGAAATCCTACATGTAGCAACATTTACTCCCAGTAACAATTAGGGTGCTAATCCTGAGACAGCTTCTCAGGAGGGGATAAGAGGATTCTTCTATGCTATGAGAAGTAAGAGAAAACATTTCCTTTGTTCTCTAATTCAGGTTGTTTTTGCCCACTTAAAGGAATTGAATTTTTTTTCAAAATAGAATTTTGAATTTTTTTTCCCTGATAAAGCATATACATATTCTTTATAAATATTTAACAAACTCTCATCTACTTCTAACTGGCCTGAAACCGTTTCCAACAAACACCTTATTTATTATGAGAGACATATTATCTGCTCTCTCTTGAAACTGCTGCCTGAGTAACACAGAGAGAGCAGGTAAAGGGCATCTGTGGGCCTGGCCCTCACGGAGGCCAGTTGGGAACAGGGTTTTGAGTTCTGCCCTCCTGGTCCAGATGCAGCAGGCAGAGCCGCTCCCTCTGCATACACAGCTGAAGTTGTCACCCCAATTGTATAGAGCCTGGAGAAATGAGGTCCTGAGGTTGTTCTGAAGGAGAACCAAGAAGGACAGGGACTTTGTCTCCGGCTCTGGAGAACCACCTGTCCCTGCCTCACACACCTGCCCAGTGGAGGGCTGAGACTGGCTCACCTGAGCAGCAGGGACTCCTGGTAGAGGTAGCACTGGCTGGCATGTCTCCGGTTGTTTCTATAGCGCTGGGATGCCTTTGAGGGCTTCATGGGAGCTGAGCTGCTGCCAGTGAACCAGAACTGGCCAAAGAGCTGGGACGCCGGCAGGTCAGGGCTTGTTCCAGGGGAGGCTTCTGAACAGGAGCTGCAGTGGGTCTGCCCTGCAGTTCTCAGGAGCAAGGCTGCCTGCTTGGAGCTGGTGCTGGGAGCAGGAAAGAGCACGCATATGCAGTGCTGAGGCGGCTGCGGCAGCACAGATTGGCTGGAGTCTGGACGGGAGGTGGGAGGCCTGACCCGGTGAGCTTGGCATCACTTGGTGCTGCTCAGATAATCACATCTGTCAGCTCTGTGCCTATGTAGGGCTCTGAGCTCTGTGCAAAGCACTTTGCATCTGTAGCTATGGTCAGTGTACACAGAACACTTAGAAAGTACAAAAGGCAGGCTTAGAGGAAAGGTTGCACTTATCTGCACCCAGCAGAGTCCAGGAGAGGCACTGTCATCGTGGTTTTACTTGTTTCTTTCTCAACTTTTTTCTACTTCGAAAAAATTCAAGCCTACAGAAATGTTGCTGAAACAGTACCCTAAATGTTTGTACACTGCTCACCTAGCCTCAACATAGTTGCTACGGCTTTGTGTCTGTGTACTCTGCCTACACAATCTGAAAGTAGGTATAGACCCAGTGACCCAGCAACCCCGAAGGCTTCAGCATGACTAAATAATAACCAAACTGACACTTTGCCAACATCATCCGTTTACTGTGTGTGGTCGGTCACATTAATCAGGACAATGACCCTATAGCACTGAGGCTAAAAGAAATCAAGAAGCTTCCTAGCACTTTGTGGTAAGAAAGTAAAAATTTGGCTGGGCGCCCGTAGGTCAGTGGTTAGGGCACCAGCCACATACACAGGGGCTGCCAGCTTTGAACCCAGCCAGGGCCTGCTAAACAACAATGACAAGCACAACAAAAAAATTTGCGGGTCATTGTGGTGGGCACCTGTAGTCCCAGCTACTTGGGAGGCTGAACCCAAGAGTTGAGATTGCTGTGAGCTGTGACAGCACAGCACTCTACTGAGGGTGACATAGGATGAGGGTGAGACTCTGTCTCATAACAAACCCCTCCCCCCCCAAAATGAAGAAAGTAAGAATTTGATAGAGATTAGACACTCACTTAGATATCCTGAAAATTAATTGCCTGCTATAAAATAGGGTGTGTCCCCAGCCTCAGGCAAATGGTACCCTGCCCCCTTGTCACAGGTTGTCATGAGAGGCTGGGCAAAAGGACTCTCCACCAAAGACCTCATTCTAAAGTCCAAGACCTGCCTTCAGTTCCACAGTAGAAATCTCTATTTGATTCATGACACAAGAAGTGGCTGGGTTGTAGTACCTTTAACTGAATGGACAGGAGCAGGGCTGGAATAGAAATGGCCCTTTCTGCTGAGTGGGCCATCTCATATAGGGTGACCAGAAGTCCCGCTTTTCAACAATTTGTCCTCCGTCCCATGGCGTTTTAAAAAGTCCCGATTTTTGGAAAGAATGCACAAATGGCGGGAGAACAAGAAGGGAATATACGGTTTTCGGCTGCCATGTGGCTATTTCGCCAGAATATGAGTTTTATATTATTTTTGTTAATTTTATAATGTTAAACTGTAATAATAACAAATAATTGTCGAGAAGTGATTATTGAGAACTGCTTGTTAAAGTTTGCATTGTTGTCAGGCCCTGCCCTGCCCGGTCCCCTGCCCCGCCCCTGCCCCGCCCCACCCCCCAGGCGATGTTAAAATCTGGTCACCCTAATCTCATACACACTGAGAACTGAATAAATGGGTGAGTAAGTGACTGGGGCAGGCACCAGGCAACAACTTGGAAAGAAAATTCATCAGTGGCTCCAGCTGTGGGGCTGAGTCCTCCATTAATTCATAAGCAAGTCATTATATAGCTCTTACCGTGTGTGCTCTGGTGAATGTAAGAGCTCCAGCCCAGGATTCTGGGGTTCAGGGGCTATTGGTGGGTGTTCAGATCCAGGGCATAGGGCATGAGAAGAAGGCAGAAATCTGCGTGTGAGAGCTGGCGTTAGGTTGGACGACATGGGGCCTCAGAGATCCTCTGCCTGAGGCCATCCGGCCTGACGCTCTATCCAGTAACACTAGATAAAATACATGCTTATCAAATGGACACTAAGAATATTTCTAGCTCCAATGACACTTTTTGCATTCTTTTAGAGATCTTTACTTACTTGGGCTACTTCTAAACATTTCAAAGATTTTTTTTTCTTTTAATCTTACTTTTCCCTAAGGCTCTCTGCCTTATTTTGATTTATTCAAAAGTTAAAATAATTTACATAATCTCATGCAGCTAAGTATTTTGAGTATTTTTGTTTCTACTTTGCTGCTATATACATTTTTGCAGGGTGAGGTAGGGACAGATAGTAGCAGAGTTTGAGGTACTACAGGGATTTATAAAAACAAATTATTGCCAACCCAATCCTTTTTCCCCACATCATTCAGATAGTTCTGTTTGGCACTATGGGTGCAATAAAATAGGCTGATTGAGATTATTTAACTTTATTTTTAGCATCCGACTCATAAATTAAATGTAATACTAAATATAAATAATTTTTTTGAGACAGAGTCTCACTTTGTTGCCCCAGTAGAGTGCTGTAACATCATAGCTCACAGCAACCTCAAACTCTTGGGCTCCAGTGATCCCCTTGTCTCAATCTTCCAGAGTGCTAGGATTACAGGTGTGAGCCCCCGCACCTGTTCTAATTGTTATTTTTAACATGAATCAATCATGCTAATTCTTTAACCTGATTTTAGAGAAATGATGATTTCTAGACATTTTTTATTTCAAAATTCATGTATAATCATGAAGTAAGAAAGAGAAACAATAGGAAAATTAGAAGAAAACTACAACAATGTTGCTTAATGATATTAACTAGCAACATTTCCAGCTTCTTCTTCTTCTTTTTTTTTTTTTGAGACAGAGACTCAAGCTGTTGCCCTGGGTAGAGTAAGTGGCATCACAGCTCACAGCAACCTCCAACTCCTGGGCTCAAACCATTCTTCTGCCTCCGCCTCCCAAGTAGCTGGGACTACAGGCACCTGCCACAACAGGGCCTGGGCTGGATTCAAACCCGCCAGCTCAGGTGTATGTGGCTGGCGCTTTAGCCGCTGAGCCCATTTCCAGCTTCTTACCAAGTGCATGTTTTATTTTGTATTTATATACTTTGCAGTTTTACTATATGCGCACATTTCTCTGACATTTCCACTGATTTTATATCTATAGCTATTTCTGTTGTTTTTAAATTTCTGAGAACTTATTTCACCAATGGGCCATTGAGTGGAATAGTCTGTGGAGAACATGAAACACTCAACTTGGTCCCATTTCTCAAAAGGCCATGTGTCCTCCCACATACAGTTTCTTGACATTTACTTTTTTTCTGCTTTAGCAACATTTCTTTAAAATTAGTTTCCCAGAAGTAAAATTACTGGATCATGGAAAATATTATTTAAGGAAATTCAACATGTTGCCAAATGAATGTCACTTCCTTTACATTCCTATTGATTTATTGTGCTTTCATTATCATTGGTAAAATGAATTTTTAACTGAGAACTCACATGGGTCTGTGGTCTTTTTATGTTTCCCTGTAAATGCCCCTGGCATTCACTTTGGTGATGTGTTCAGGGCGAGGCTACAGCCCCCTCCCCGTTGCAGGGGGGACGGTACACTCCCCACTTCCTCCGTAGGCCTCTGGCCCTGCCTCTGCTCCGAAGGACAGTACAGAGGATGTTGCTTCCTGAGTGCAAGGGGAGTGATTACTCCGGAGCATTTGACTTCCTCCAACAATTCAATTAGAGGCTTTACATGTGCTGGGTGATTTAAAATTAAGTCAGCATTTGTATATAGGTAAAAGGACTAGAAGTCTCTCAAAATCTTATAATTGAAAAGCACACACACACACAAATTAGGAAATTTCCAAACAATGTTAAAATGGACTAAAACTATTATTTCCTAGACCAATTACTTATAGGATCTGTGGGAAGTAAGTGAGGAAAAAGAGGAGAAGAACTAATTGTTTAATATAGGAATTCCTTTTGGGTCAAAAAGAAAAAAAAACAAAATTCAGTTACAAGTCCCAGAAGAGACCACGCAATGGCTTAGCTTACAGGAACAGAAATATTTATTTTCCATGTCATCAATTAAAGGATTTTTTTTTCCTGCTAAGCAAATTCTATTTGGAGATGTTAACATCCCTGGACACACCCTAAAGTGTATTCCTGAGTCTGGTGCATCCTGTCAGGATCGCCAAGCTCTTTTTCTTAGTTATCAAGTTTTTAGCTCTGGAGTTTATAAGACAAAGGTTCCCCTTTCTGGGATATATTTGCATCTCTGTTACATTGTTTTAATAGCTTTGTAAGGTAGTGCTCGAAGTTTAGAAACATGCTTTGGATCTGGAGAAGAATTTTAGGGAAGATATTCAAGAATGGATTATGTCCAGTTATGTGAGTAACAAATGAATTTGTTGAGACTTGATGAGAATAACATTTGCTTTTTTTTTTTTTTTTTTAGAATTCCCCATGAAATCACCAGTGACAAGTAAGTTTGAAACTGAACAGATCTGAGATTTTCCGTAGGAGTCTGTACTCTGTTCCTCAATTAGAGAGCAGTGAAAAGTTTCTGAGAGTTGGGGTGGAGTTGTCCTGTGCTGCCTCTCCCCTTGCATCAGGGAAGGCAGAGTCCCTTAACGAACAGTCCTTTAATGCAGAGCTGATCACCAGGCTGTGACCACGACACAAATGATGGAGCTGCCCTGTCCTGCCTGCTGTCACCTTCCCTCAAAGAATGGAATTCTTTCTCATATATGATTATATTTAAAGACATAAACTGGCCTAGGAAAAGGAAAAATTTAAACTTTCTTTAAAAACTGACATAATGGAAAGCAGGTGAGTTCCTTGTCAAACAAGTATTTGTTAGTTGGCTGAGATTCTGTAACGACTTTCAGATTGTTTTTGTTTTCCCGTGTTTTTGGCGAATATTAGAAAGCACAGCTA